TTCACAAGAGGAGGTTGCTAAAATCCAGAACATTCTATCAGTGAAGAAATTAAGAGTGTAATTACATACACACTGAAATATTTCGACTGAGCCTGCAGTGAAAGTGAAAGTCACTTAGTTGTGTCCAACTTTTTGCAACCCCATGGACTATACAGTCCATGGAATTCTCCAGGTCAGAATATGGAGTGGGTAGCATTTCCCTTCTCCAGGGGGTCTTCCTGACCCAGGAAGTGAACCAGGGTCTCCTGCATTGCAGGCAGATTCTTTACCAGCTGAGCTACCAGGGAAGCCCTGCATAACTACTCATTTTTCACATTTTTCTTCCTCTCACAATTCACATGTGTCTGGCTGGCTGCCAAAGGGAATCATATTAGAATAATGTCCAATCAATATTGATATTGTACTTTATAATTACCCAGGATCTTCACCTTAGTATTTCCGTTTTTCTATATGATAATGACCAGTTTCAGAAAGGTTAGATGATTTGCGCAACATGGATCAGTTTGCAAGTTTCAGAGCCAAGGATCCAGTAGAGATCTTCTGTCTCTCTTAATTCTTTCATTGTGACAGCATGACATTTCTGAGTGACATCTGTTAGACTCTAAACATTATAGTAAGTGTTATGCCTTTAAGGTCATCTTGGAACATTTTTACCCTAAATTGAGGTTCAAATTTCCCTAAAACCTATACTCCTTCTTTTTTCTTGAGATATATCTGACCTAACTGCTGAATCAGAAACTGACTATTGACCATTGAAACTGACTATTCTAAAACACCACCCAGGGATACCTGCATAAGTACACATTTTAACCTGGGAAATGGATTCAGTGTGTAATGAAAAGTGAAAGTGTTAGTTATTCAGTCTTGTCTGACTCTCTGTGACCCCATGGACTGCAGCCTGCCAGAGTCTTCTGGCCATGGAATTCTCCAGGCAAAAATACTGGAGGGGGTAGCCATGCCCTTCTCCAGGGGATATTCCTGACTCAAGGATTGAACCTGGGTCTTTGGCATTGCAGGCAGATTCTTTACAGTCTGGGCCACCAGGGAAGCCCTTAATGTGTAATAGTAAGTATAATAAATGCGTGAACATATAAACATACCTTACATTGAACTTTACAGTGTACCATCATAAGAAAAACAATAGTTTATAGAATAGAAGTAACTATGGCAAACTACAGATTTAAATCACGCTGCCTCCCATGTGCTGGCAGGAGCTCCCAGTTACCTCAGTAACTTTCCATTAACATGTGTCTCAAACACATGCATTTTCGGGGGCACATTAGCTAAATTTTCCACTTTATGTTCTCACTTTAATTTCACCTTTCTGTGTTAATGACTAAAACATGCTGATCCTGTTGTGCTTTCCGAGTTTGTCTATTTCACTGCAACCTTCTCATCCTCTTACATTTCAGACTGCTGCCTAAACTTGGAGGCCTAGCTTTTGGTACCCATTGGTCAGGAGGAATTAAGATAGAGCCTGGAGAGAGAAAAAACAGTTTTTACTACAACAGCCCCTAACTTTGCCTATCAAAGATTAGTCATCCAGTTATCCCGACTGTCTCATGCTTGCCCTGGCATCTCACCCAATCCTTCAAAGTTTGCTGCATGCAGAGGGTTTAATTTGGGGTAACAGGAAAAATGATTAAACTGTGTAGTTAGTGTTAGTCGCTCATAGTGTCTGACTCCTTGCGACCCCATGAACTATAGCCTGCCAGGCTCCTCTGTCCATGGGATTTCCCAGGAAAGAATACTGGAGTGGGGTATCCATTCCCTTCTTGAGTGGATATTCCCCACCCAGGGATCAAACTGAGGTCTCTACAATACAGGCAGAGCCACCAGGGAAATGAAAGGAAAAGGCAAGTGGAAGATGGATAGGCCGTTACTGGAAGAGACATTAACACAAATAACAAAGTCATTCATTCATTCATCAAATCTTTACTGAACACTTAGATTTTGTGCTCGGGTGTTACTTTTTGTCAGGCACTCTGCTAGGAGCTCAGAGAGGTACAGGAGCTGGCTTCATGAGATGATGGATTTAATTTTCAACAAGGAGACTTTAAAGCATCAGCAAAATAGTCAAGCTGCCAGCTGTAGATAGAGACCTAGAGCTTAGGAGAATAATTTATTTGGAATTATTTGTATAAAGAGAGGTCAGCATTAAAGCTGTGGAAAGTGCAAGACCACCAAGGTAGAATTTTTCACTGAAGTAGAAAATAATTATCAGGTCGAGAGAGCAAGTTCAAGAACAGATATAAAAACAAAACACCATGCCACACTTGGGGTCTAGAGAAACAGAAATTATTAACAAAAGAAGTGACAGGAAAAAAAATAAAATAAAAAGAGGAGAGCTGAAATAGCTACACTGGGGAAAATGAGCAGCCTTTACCAGAAGCACAGGAACTTATGAATTCCATAGCACTGACATTCCCATGAGAGTCAAGAGGGTGAAGCTGGAGAAGGAGATCCAGTTCAAGTAAGCTCACCAGGAAAGTGAGGAGCTGGGAGCCAAATGTGGGAAATGGTGAGAGGCGTTTTGTGGGGAAGATGAAGAGAACAACGGAAAGGTAGCTTGACAGGATAATCATACTTAGAAAATGTAAACTATCCCTTAACATTCTTTTCTTTGAGAGGGCTCCAAAATCACTGCAGATGGTGACTGCAGCCATGAAATTAAAAGATGCTTGTTCCTTAGAAGAAAAGTTATGACCAACCTAGACAGCATACTAAAAAGCAGTGATATTACTTTGCCAACAGAGGTCTGTCTAGTCAAGGCTATGATTTTTCCAGTGGTCCTGAATGGATGTGAGAGTTGGACTAAAGAAAGCTGAGTGCTGAAAAATTGATGCTTTTGAACTGTGGTGTTGGAGAAGACTCTTGAGAGTCCCTTGGACTGCAAGGAGATCCAACCAGTTCATCCTAAAGGAGATCAGTCCTGGGTGTTCATTGGAAGGACTGATGTTGAAGCTGAAACTCCAATACTTTGGCCACTTGATGCAAAGAACTGACTCACTGGAAAAGACCCTGATGCTGGGAAAGATTGAGGGCAGGAGGAGAAGGGGACAACAGAGGATGAGATGACTGGATGGCATCACTGACTCAATGGACATGAGTTTGAGTAAACTCCGGGAGTTGGTGATGGACAGGGAGGCCTGACGTGTTGCGATTCACGGGGTCGCAAAGGGTCGGACACGACTGAGCGACTGAACTGACTGAACATTCTTTTCACCACTCCCAAGGCAGGCATGTTCTAAGTGTTTGATGAATCTCTATCATAACTGATGATTTCTGAGAGAGATACTATTCTTTCTTTCTTAGAGACAGGTAAGTGGAGACACAACTACATGAAGTAACTTGCCCTCCCTCACATAGATAGTATTATTGTTCTGTTATGTTGTGAGGCTTAGGCTTGTGGGAAGAAACGAAATAAAACAGAGGGAGATAGGAACTTCCCTGGTGGTCTAGTTGGTTAAGAATCTGCCTTCCAATGTAGGGATGTGGATTTGATCCCTGGTCAGACTTTATTTTTTGGGGCTCCAAAATCACTGCAGATGGTGACTGCAGCCATGAAATTAAAACACGCTTACTCCTTGGAAGAAAAGTTATGACCAACCTGGATAGCATATTAAAAAGCAAAGACATTACTTTGCCAACAAAGGTCCATCTAGTCAAGGCTGTGGTTTTTCCAGTGGTCATGTATGGATATGAGAGTTGGACTGTGAAGAAAGCTGAGTGCTGAAAAATTGCTGCTTTTGAACTATGGTGTTGGAGAAGACTCTTGAGAGTCCCTTGGACTGCAAGGATATCCAACCAGTCCATCCTAAAGGATATCAGTCCTGGTTGTTCATTGGAAGGACTGATGCTGAAGCTGAAACTCCAGTAATTTGGCCACCTGATGCGAAGAGTTGACTCATTGGAAAAGACCCTGATGCTGGGAGGGACTGGGGGCAGGAGGAGAAGGGGACGACAGAGGATGAGATGGTTGGGTGGCATCACCAACTCGATGGACAGGAGCTCGAGTAAACTCCGGGGGTTGGTGATGGACAGGGAGGTCTGGCGTGCTGTGATTCATGGGGTCGCAAAGAGTCGGACACGACTGAGCGACTGAACTAACTAAGTAACTAACTGGAGAACTAAGATCCCACAAGTCTGGGGGCAACCAAGCCCAAGTGTGTCCAAACTAGTGAGCTTGCAACTAAGACCCGACAAGGCCAAAAATACACATACACATATATGTATAAATATATAAAGAAAATGAAGAGGTGATGATAAAAGAACGGTCGAGGCAAAGTATAATGGTAAGAGCTACCTCCTTTATGGGAGGAGCCCCTGCTAGCAAAGTTTCCCTGGAAAGGAACTGCGAGAAGAGAGTAAATAATATAAAACAAAGTCTTAAGAGATACATAGTTGTGGGGGCCTGCGTTACATGCTATTTTGTTATTTTGGTAAAACAAGAGGTGACGTCAGTGGCTCAGACGTTCTTCAGGTCTTCAAGTGCAGATCTTCAAGTCTTCAAGGCCCATTCTTCAAGTGTGGATCAGGGAAGGGGCTGGGAAGACACCTACATCAACCTATTATTATCTCGCTTTATCAATGAACACGTATTCCACCATGGAAAAGCAAGAATCATTAGGTATTCACAACCCTGCCCACAAACCCTACCCAGACATATATATGCATTACAATAGAAATCCAGAGGACACTCAAGCTAGGCAGATCCTAGTACCAGGTGGTACATAAGAACTAAAAGGCACCTTCTAATCTTACAGATACTCTCTCTGGGTTTCAAGTGGTTTTAATGGCAAAAAGAAACATAAAGTGCAGCCCACCTAAATCAACAGCATACTGATGTACATTTTTCCTTTGTGGGTTTTTTTTTTCCTCTCTTGCAAGAAGTGTTTGCTGTTTAAAATCTGTTACTAGGTCATGATGGCAAAGCACGTTTTTCTCTCTTCCCAAGTTCAACCCTCCACATTTCACTGTGTGTTTGCAAGTAAAAATACCTGTTGCCGTGCACGTGAGAGGCACAGAATGCAAAGCTGTAATGGAGCAGGGTTGGGTCAATGACAGCACCATTCTCCGAATGTTCCATCAGTTCTGTAAGGTAGCAGAGATGTCTGTGACAGCCCCTCACACCGTAACGGGCACAGTACTCATCCAACACAAAGACCTGGCCAGGACTAAACCACCCCTGCAAAAGGAAGAACAGCAACAGAAAGAAATTATTATTTTTCCTGCACCAGAATTCACTTTTCTGCAGGCCCTATTAGGTATTGTAAGCAGAAAATGCATTAGTGCTTTAGACAATTTTTTTCTTTTTTCTATTAGCAGTATGTTTCCTATTGTTTTTAAAACAGCAAATGCCATCAATTTTGGAACTGGTTTGGGCCACTGACAGCTTAACACCATCCTTTCTTTACTGCCAAGCGAGGCAGGGGCAACCTGCTCTTTTTGGCTGTCACGCACAATGAGTCAAATTTATTCATGGTATCTAAAATGTGGGTTGCAAAGAATAACCTTCCAACAAACTTCAATCTCTATATGAATCAATTAAAAAGAAAATGGCAAAGCAGACCCGATAACTGAAATCACCTAGTTTCCAAAAGCACTGTATAAAGTGAACTGAGAGAATTTCAGTAAGTTTTAGCAGTGGTATTTAAATTATTATTTGGGTATTTAAATAGTTTCGATATTGTTCTCACTCTACTGTCTTTCAATGACAAATATAACAAAGTTAATGTCTTACAGCAGTAGTTTCTGGTTCTCTTGAAAAGAGATGTTAGAGTCGGTATATGCGCTTGGTTAACAAGACAGGGCCAGGTTAGGGAGAGTCGGTTTACAAAATATTTCAGTGGATTATACGGATTAATTCAAGATAAAAACAGAGAAAGAAGGGGGGATGCAGAGTTTTCAAAAGGGGCAGTATAATCACGAAAGAGATGGAAAAGAGTGTGAAATGCAGAAAGATGAGATAAAAATAAAATGCACTAAAATTCAATAAAAAATTTTAAAAGAAGGAAGAGGAGAAAAAAACACTAGAATAATACTGTGGTGATGGTGAAGGCACTGTACTAAACATGCTCTATATATCTTTAATATTTAGAACTATCATGCATTCTAGTTATTATGATTCCATGTTACAGATACAGAAGCTAAAGTTGAGAGGTGTTCAGCGAATTGCTCAAGACCACAGTGCCGATCAGCTGCTGAGTCAAGTTAACATCCAAGGTCATCACGAGCTCAAATGCTCTTTCTAATCACACCTGCCCTCGAGGTACAGTGTAATCCACTGTAGAGTTCTCCTCACACTCCATATGGCCTGTGGGGTCATCCACATGATCAAAACAACTTTCTGACATTTTAAGAACTAACCCCACGGAGTGGAATCCAAGAGGAAAGCGTTCCTGTTGATGATCAATCTATGTGTGCTTGTCCCCAGAAAGATAGATGAGGGTTTTGTGATGAGTTCTTTTACTCTCTAATTATAAAGTTTGGGCTGGATGGGGCTTAAGCCATACAACTGCACGCTGAATAACAGATATTAATAGTGAGTCTATAAATAAATTAATGAACATCAGTAGGATCATGGCAGTAATTATTCCATTTCCTCCTGTCTGTTGAAACATCTCTGATGAGCTTAGAGTATGTTCTGTCTAAAATCTTAAAGAGAGTGCAACTTTATTGCATGCAGCTACCATGTTCAATAGCCAAGAGACTAAGTGGTGATAGAAACATGGAGATTCTGGCCAGAGGAATTTCAGAGGAATTTCCACCAACAAAATAAATCCTTGGATTTAAAGGCACAAGAGATTTTTAGGCTATAGTGTAATGCACACGTTCTAAGGAGTCAAGGATTCCTTCCCTCCTAATTGTAAATTATACCTTGCATCCCAAATTTGGCTGGTTTAAACACAAAGTAGCAGTTTAGCTACTCAATTTAATGCCTTTTTTTAAATAAAGTAATTCCAATTATTTTTGGAGGGTTAGATAAAACTAAAGCTTTCCTCTGTTACACACAGTCATCACCATATTGTTTATTACACGGTTTCTCTCCCCTGTCACTTAGGTAGTCTTTGTAGCAATGAGAGAGAGATATGAATGGTATCACCATTTGGTGAGCAGAATTTAAAGCTTAAAATGTCTGTATAGGTGTTAGTAAATCCTGTCACAGAGGTTATTTTTTTAGTCTTTAGTAAAGCCTTCTATTTTCATTCCACCTTCTCCAGAGGGACCAAGAAACCACAGTTCAGCGTCTGTTCGAGTCCTTTCTCCCGGCTATTGAGTGGCACAGCAGTGATCTTCAAGTGTATAATTTTCAAATTGGGAAGCAATCGATTGGAATCCTTTATCCCTAACTCCAACTATAGTTATTAAATGAGTCAGGGATAAAAGGCTGCTTCATAACGAGTATTTCTCACTTAAAAAAATCTCTCACTCTAACCTATAGGGGATGAGATAGATTTGTACTAACCAAGCAAGAATAGGAATCGTTCAGTCTATGATCCAAAGTCTGCCTCTGGAGTATTCTAAACAGGAAGGCGTGGTCCAGCTTGCAGGGGTTCGCAGAAATAAACTCATCCATACCATGTTTCTGAAAACGGTCTGCATCTGTGAATTCATAAGAGCATGGACCTTTATTTTTCTGGTTTAATAATAATAGCAAATAAGGCTTTTGAACAACACAAAATGAATGTCTCATCATAACAGATAAATACTCTGCACTACATAAAGTAAGAGGCCACGAATTCAGCAAAAACCATAAAATATTTTTTGTAGACTAAATAAAAATGATAGGGAAAAACCTGCCAATCAGTTGGAAGGAGGGAATTATATTTTCATTCACAGCTACTTCAAATATCTACCACAGAAATAATCTCACCCACCCTAATATTAAGAAAAGTTGATACATTTTAAGTATATATTTACTGAGCTGGAAAACGGCCCAGGTCTATTCATAAAAAAAAAAAAAAAAAAATTACAACGATGGCTAGAAGCCTGCTTTCCAAATGGCAAACTAGGGCAGAAATGAACACACTTGCTTCAGCTGGATCACTTCCAGCCTTTTTTTGTAGGGAGCTCTTAATGGGACCAACTTTAATGTAGAAATGGCAATGAATGCTTCCAGGCTTCAAGTTTAAGAGACATGAAAAAGGGAACATCATGCTTGTGCAAATATGCAGACAAAGCACAACATCCCAAATGGCACTTCAATCAAAGGCCCAAATTTATTGTTCTTCACAGATTGCATCTTTCAACGCCTGTAGACCCTGCGGGTTTATCAAAAGGCAAGCTTTTATGATTGCCTTCATTAATGGTATGTTTTGTCAAAGTCTTCAATGTGAGTTCTTTACTAACGATAGAGACAGCGAGCCACACGCCACCCCAAAGGAGTGCTGGGGTGTTACTACATTAGCTCCGTAAGAGATGTCACGCATATTGGACAAGCAACCAGCTATCAAGATAAAAGTGGGCTCTCCTCACAATGGTTGAGCTAAGCCTCCATTGTTCCTTAAAATTCACAGAGAGATCTCATTTCTAGTCATCACAAGCAGCACAGTCCTAAATGTAAGCTAAATGTAGTTTTTAAAAACCTAGATGGTCCAACCCTAAAACTGCAATAGGAAAGGAGACAAAAGTTTATTGATTACACCCAATTATAGAGTCCGGCTCATAATAAAACTCAATATTGATCTGTAGACATGATGCTAACATAATCAGTCACATTTAGATATTTAGCCCAGATCATATTGATCCATGTCAAGTTCAACTTTCAGCCATATTTGTGGATGGAAGAAGTATATAATTCAAGCTGAAGGGTCTTCAGAATCACATGTTAAAAAAAAATACACAATCTAATTTATATCTCACATCAATGAAGGATATCAAAAGGTGAATGCAGCAAGGAAGCAATGAATGGCCACTCATCAACGATGTGAGGTATTAGGTTCTGTCCATGAAGGAAGTGGCATATATATTCTTTTGCATTTAATAACTGCTTATCTGAATGATTAAATACATTACATGTGGTAAATCAGAATTAGTTGCATTTAACACTGAACTGAACTGCTTTTCCTAAACTGAGAAATGAGACAATCCAACTTCTGTATTTCTTATGTCTGATTGCCTTTTAATATAAAGTTAAATATATGATAATGTGAAATTATATCAAATGTGGAGGCAGAATATTGATAACTGCAAGGCACACATTATAAAATCAGATTTTGTATTTTAAAGAATTTATCTTAGAATCTTCATCTCTCCATTTATCTGAGTTAAAAAAAAAGTTTTTAGCATCACCTTTAGGAAATTATAGTTTTAAAAAACATCTGCTGAATTTTATTCATTATTTCTTTCACCAGAGAAGCTCATAACAAGATGTTAAAAATAACGCCCATTAACAGTTTATCTGTTGAGAACATGATATGCAAGAGATTTCAGAGAAAAAAAATCCATAATTTCCCTTTTACTATAAAGGTTTGTAGAAGGAAATTCTTATTTTAAAATAATAGGTGTACAGTCTTTAAATAAAATATACAAGTTCATGAAAAAATTGAGTCAGTAGTTCATTTCTGTAATTAAATATTTTAAAAAATGAATTTATGAAGTATCTTTCTCATGAAATATAACTCATATATTATTTAATGTGATAAGCTTTTCCAAATTACACACATAAATGGATAAGTACTTTTCTAGCAAATACTATTACCAATAAAAATAATATTTACAATAACAATTTAAGCCACAAACAGACTATACATTGACAATGAAAAAACACAGAGGAAAATCCACTAAAATTTTTATTAAAAAAAGAAAACAAACCCTACAATCCCTCCAGGGCTATAAATTTGATGAAAGGGAAATGTTCTCTTAGGGATTATCCCATTTTTAAACACAGGCTGTAAAGACCCTGAGTACTTACTTCTTTTCTATGTCTGATCAGCACAATTCAAAATATTTTATGCAAACATACTTCACCATGTACTACTTTACTATATTTCCATGAATTTATGAATAAAAATAAGTTATAAAGGAGACAGTTTTGATCTCTCTATAGGAAACATTTCATTTTAAAATTCTCTCATGAACCAAAGTAAAAAAGGAAAATAGCTAGTATTAAATATCTAGCTTCTTATTTTTATAAAATGATATTTTCCATATGGTTTTCTCTTGGCATAACATATCTTCAATTAACTGTGAGGGTAACACAGAGTTATCAATTGAATTAAATGGAAATCATGCTTTCAATCAATTATGTAACCAAATCCAAGGCTTGAGAGGCTTGCTTTAAAACTGAGTTATACTTGATTATCTTCAATTAATGTTCATCATAACACAAAATTATGGTAACTAGTCTTAAACAGAAGTTATTCATGGCACTAATCAAATCTTCAATGGTAGTTTGGTTTGTCTCCTGAAATAACATAAGGAAATTATCAAAAGAAACCGACAAGATATGAGATGAAACAATGTACTGTACAACTGTCATAAATTGTGATGATTAACCTATGGACTAAGTACAGATGTTAGACATGGTAAATGAGCATGCTGGTGGAGTTTCTATGGCAACAGTTGGATACATGCTCTAGCGTCCTTAGGTAGTACTGTCACCAGGTATGGTAAAAGTGGATGGAATAAAACTCAAATTGAGAAAGATTACTATTTACAACAGATTTGAGAAATGATAGAGGTTTTATTCAAGTGGGATCTGAAAATGTAAGTTTTTCATTAATAGCTGTCAGAAGTCAAGAGAAAAGATTAATAAGTAGGCTCACAGTATCAATCTAAACAGTTAACACTGACTTGAAAATAGCTAGCATAGAAAACCATGTGAGGTCTATTAGCAAGCTGGCAGATCCCACTATGCTGGGAGGGCTGTTTGCTGGGAGCTGACCACAGTGAACCCAAATCCTAGGAAGGGCACCTAAGTCACAGTTCAGAGCGTGAGAAAGGAAAAAATTAATTGAAATGTTTCTCTTTGCTTTGCAACTAATTTCAAGGATGCTGAATGTTTTTCCTCTTTTCTATCTTTTTTTTTTTTTTTCTGCTGTTCACGGTGTGAGAGAGATTAGGGATTAACAGGGCAAAGGGAAGGTAAAAGAGAGTTGGGGGAAAGGACAAGAAGAAGAAGAGCAGGCCGCTGAAGAGCAGGCCATTCATTCACCTTCTAAGACCACTCATGTGCCCAAGGGTTCAGGCCTGGGACCCAGGTACCAAAAGGACTAATAAGAGCGTGCTACTAGCTGAGAGGTTGTCTCTTCTGCAAAATCTTGAGCTAAACGAAGTAGCAAATGAACCTTTGGAAATACAACAACTTGTTTTAGAATTACCCTGTGTTTAGGGGTTTGCCTGTAGCTCCATTTACCACCTCCCACTCAGATTAAACTTTCCTTTTAGCTCCCAACCTTCATTAGCTTGGAGATTCACAGCAAGTTAAAAGTGACACAAAAAACAACCACTTCCCTTTTTATGGCACACATATAGCCTTTAATAGGAAGAGCTAATGTTTTAAAATTTTATGTAGATTATCTGGTTGGTTATGTTCCCATACGTTTATGCTGAAGACCTAAGAGAAAAAGTTGGCAGATACTATTTCTTGGGAGTCTTTTCACATCTCTATTATTAACTCAAATAGTTTTTTGGCCTATTTTGGTAAATACATTAAAAATGAATATACGGATTTATAGGTCTTACTTTCTGCAGCAGATAGCAAATGATACTTTTACATGATGACAATTTTAATCAACACATACAGACCTATAATTATAGCAAACATTTATTTTAAATAATATATTCATCATATTTTACCAATGAAGGGTGAAATTTAACTTACTAGGGTCAGCAAGGAGAATTAGCTTAAAAAAGTAAATATAAGTTTACAATCTGACTAAAGAATTTTTTAAAAATTTGGCTTAAAATTGAAAAGAAGTTAAGTACTCAGGTTCATTTTTGACACTGATTTATTATTGAAAGTCAGCTATTACTGTATTGTGTTAGGTAACAAATACAATATATTATGTTTGTGCCTAGGTGAAAGGAAAATTTTTTTAAAGGTGCTTGCATAATCTTTTTTGGGGGGATAACAATGAAGGATAGTTTAACCAAACAATGTCTGCCAGTTTGGTAAACGGCAGTGCACAGTTTGAAGCACAAAAACTGGATCGCATTCCTTCAGCCTTGCTTTAATTCACTTTTTTCCTTAGAATTTCTATGTATCTTAAAAGTCAGTGAAACAGGGAAGTAGAATACATCCACTTATCAGATAAATCTATGAATACCCACCATTATTTATATTTTAAGAAAGATAATAAGGTTGTTCCTAATAAGTTAGATTTTATAATTATTATTTTGTTCTGATTATTCCTAACCATTCAGTACAGTTGGATTTAAAAATGAGCTTTTCTTTTTAAAGTTATAACATAGATACTTCAAAGAAAATTCAGGAAATAGAGGCAATGAATTAACAACCAATCCCTCTAATTAAACTGATCCACTGTAAATATTTTAGGTATAATTCTACCTATATTAAAAAAATTTTAACAGAGTGGCAATAATATCACATATATAATTTAGCATTTTCTCACTTAACGTTACAGAACATTTTTGCAAGCTATAGTAACAATTTCATAGCAATTTCCTTTATGCTCACATCAATTGAGAGATACTAGGTTGTTTTTACTTCCCTGTTGTGGCAAAAATAAGCATTTCTGTTTCCTAAAAGACAAGGTTAATGTAAACATTCCAGTCCTGCCTAGAAAGCAGGAATATCATGATACTGTAAATAAGATCATGATATTACTTGAAAAAGTTTTATCATTATAAAAATTTTAATATGGTAAAGCAAAAAAAAGTCATAAAAATACTTACCCTTACCAGCTATAGGCCAGCAAAGAAATGAAAAACATATTTAAATGGGTTAGAAACATTTATTTCTAGTCATTTTAATTTTATGTCATTTTCTCAGTTTCCACTAATGACTCTAGAAGTTGTCTTTCCAAGAGATGATCAAGAGAGAAAGGAATAATATGGAAGTCAAGGAAGAGAGGAAAATTAAGGCAAAACTACTCTCTGGATCAGTTCAATGGCATCTCTGATAAAGGTGATGGTCAGTATCTCATTTAGGTGAGACAGAAACACATTTTTCTTTCTTCTTTCCTTTCCTTTTTAAAGATAAAACATCAGGGTCTGTGAGTAAATACAAAAAAATCTCTTAACACGACTGGAACAGTTTAGATTTTTAGAACAAATTTAGCTTTTTTAAAGCAAGTTAATCAAGGGGCTAAAAAATTCAGTTCCACTTAGCCTGATCAACACTGCCTTGACAATAAATAGATATCTAACAGAAAGATTTTGCTGGGAAGACATTACATGGCTCTCTTACTAAACTGATTATCAGTTCTTTTATTAATTCCATATCAGGAAGTCATGATTTTAATGTTCTTGATTTAGTGCTTTCCAACCACTTCTCTTCCCACTTTGACATCCTTTATAACATGGGCTTCCCTGGTAGCTCAGTGGTAAAGAATTCGCCTGCCAATGCAGGAGACATAGCTTTGATCCCTGGGTTGGGAAGATCCCCTGGAGAAGGAAAGGGCAAACCACTCCAGGATTCTTGCCTGGGAAGTCCCATGAACAGAGGAGCCTGGCGGGCCACAGTCCATGGGGTTGCAAAATAGACACGACTTCACCATGGAACAACAACATCCTTTATAACACCAATACATGTCTTGGGTATTCCTTATACTCAAGATGTGAAGAAAAAAATACTGGAACACAAGCGAATGAGGGAGACATTTTCATAAAAATAATTTCCAAGACAATGCAACTTGGCAGTTCTTAAACAGCGGTAACCTTCCCCACCTTTGTCTCTGTCCCCTGGAACATTTGAGATCTAGAGAAAATTTTGGTTGTTAGACCTGGGACAGTGGAGTCAATTATTACAGGGATCTAGCGGGTAGCAGACAGGGAGGATACTAACCACCCCAAAATACATAGGTCAGCCTTCCCCCGACCCCTGAAACAAGGAATTATCTAGCCCAAAATGACAGTCTTGCTGAGAAATACTGCTCTAACAAAGAAAGCAATCACTCTGCTTCTGGTTAGTGTAATTAAAACAGTGTAATTAAAAGCAGATTAACCCTCCTACCTGAAACAACTAAAAAAAAAATCATTAAAAAATACTTTTAAGAAAGTTCTCCAAATTTTGGAGATCCAGCAACACAGCAGAGTGATTCCTGAGAGGTGGGGAAACCAATGAGATGAGCCTTTTAGCTGCCTCAGGTTAATGCTGGGAGAAACTTTCAAAGCAGTGGCTCTGGGAAGAAGAACTCAGGGAGAGCTAAGGGTCTCTCTGGGCTGAGAAGATGGGAGTTGACAGTTCAGGAAGGTCAAGGCGGCTGAAATTTGCAGGAAAGATTATTGTTTCCTCCCGCTACCCCACCCCATATTCAAATGAATACTGACCACCTCACTCAATGGAGGCAACAATATGAGGATGGGAAAGAACCACCACATAGGATTAGAGGGGACAGTGCCCACATGCACACAGAGACTAGAGCAGTGCTCGTTTCCAACAGCCAGAAGGTGAAACTTCAATTTTCACTGCTCACCAGCTGGCGTCCAGGTGGTGGTGGTTTAGTTGCTAAGTCGTGTCCGACACTTGTGACCCCATGGACTGCAGCCCGCCAGGCTCCTCTGTTCATAGGATTTCCCAGGTAAGAATCCCTGAGTGAGTTGCCATTTCCTTCTCCAGGGGATCTTCCCAACCCAGGGATCAAACCTGGGTCCCCTGCATTGCAGGCAGATTTCTTTACCCACTGAGCCACCAAGGGAACCCAGACTAGATGTTATATGGCTCCATCTAAAAGCTAAACCTGAAAGGATTAAATTTCTTTTGAGCATTTTAACTATGTCTTAGAATAAAACTCAAGAATAATTTTGTGAAGAAAACGACACCAAAGCACATCATAATTAAATTGCTCAAAACCAGTGTTTAAGTGAAAAGTTTTAAAGCAGCTTGGGGGCGGGGGTGAAAAACAAACCACAACACACATGATGTACAGAAGAAGAAACAAAAATAATAGAAACATTTTTCATCAGGGAAGAGAAAAAGCAAGTTAGCAGAGAGCAGAGCAAAGTCTTTAAAGAACTGAAAGAAAAGTATTTTTCAAAATGAAGGTAAAATGAAGACATTTTCATACATAAAAAAGCTAAAAGCTGCACACATACTACAAGAAAAGTCAAAGGACATCCTTCAGGTGAAATATCTCTGTAAGTGAATAAAGAGTGCTAGGAATGGTAACTACATGTTTGAGGATATAATATTTTCTCTTATTGTTTACATTTCTTTAAAAGGTAATTGTTCCAGGCATAATAATAATATCAATGTATTGTGGGATTCATAATATCTGTAGAAGTAAGATGCATGACCAGAATTGTACAGAAGCCAGGAAGGGAGATACAGAAGTCTACAATTGTGAGGTCCATGTACTATGTATGAAGTACCATAATCACTTGAAGATGGATCAGGCAAATTTAAAGGTGTATACTAAGAAGCCTAAAGCATGCAGGAGATGGGTTGAGCATATATCCCATCTTTATTTGACCTAAAGTGCCTTTAAGATGTCTAAATGTAATACTAATGGGTGTCTAAACAGAACAGGAAGTAGTTATTTGATGCATGAAAAGTAAGAGAAGTCAGAATGTTGCTCTCCTGGAGATGAAGCTCGAGAATGAAGGGTGCTGAATGAAAAGTTACGATTTGAGCTTACAGTTAAAGACAAACTGATTTATTACAATACAGGAGAAAACAGAGACGTTTTGGAAAGGAGTATAGCAAGTTAAAACATTTGGTTTAATGATTACTAAAGCTATATTTGAAAATGTTTCTATCATTATTACATAACTTGCAATTAATTACTTCCAAATTAAAATGAATAATTTAGTTCTTAATGATTTAAATTAGCATACAGAAAGTGACATGAATATAAAGGTATTTAGAAAAAGAAAGATGCCTTGATGACTTTTGTTTTCCTGACTTACAACAGAAAATAGGCCTAGTATTCTCTTGGTTTGTTAAGAACAACTCCAAAAAGCAACAGTTCATTGTTTTGGTGTTCTGGAATCTTATCAATGCCAATTTGATTATGCAATACGCTTCCCATTTCAATAGAACATATAAGTTAGAATTATATTAAGTTTAGATAAATTTACCCTTATGCTTTTGAGACTCCCAGAGGCACCCCAAGGGCTGGCAAATTTATGACTGGAAACCACACGCACCATTTACTCCAGGTTTGTGTGAAAAACTAGATAACTTATTCTATGAGAATGAACTATTTTTATTCAATTAGGAATCAGGTAATGATGTAAACTACAATACTAAGCAAATTTGACTCAGACAATTTTATATCTTATTAAGGTTATTAATTGATAATCAAATAATTTTTCAACAAAACTTACAAAGTTGAGCATCTGCATGGAGACCCCCTCCTTTAGGATTCAGCTTCTGGGCTTGAGTTGCAGGAACAGGTTTATAGGACTGTCCAGTGGCCCTGTACATGGCTTGAACCCACAGTATTCTATCCTGTTCATCATCACTGGCAAATATTACAGTGTCTCCTTCTTTAACAGCATTGAAGAACATATGCCCACCCTGAAGGCCTGTGGAGGGAAAAAAGCATTGCTAAAAATTCACACAGTTGACAGATTTTAGCCTCATTCATTAAATGGTCTCATGGAAAAGAACTGATCTGCTATTTGCAGCTCAATGCCTTTGAATCATATCCACAATTAAAGAATTGAAGGGAAAGGATATGAGAAAGATTTATACTTCCATATCACTTTGGAAATTAAAAATAGCCTAGGAAAAAGTTCATAACACAGCAGAGTTCTGCAACACACACAAGAACACATAGTAAAGTCTGGTATTTCATGCCAGAGAAAACACTCCTTATCTGTTAGCACATTTCTCATTCTATACGTAGGAGACAGATATGACCAGTTTAGCAGAAAACAATACAGGTAAGACTAAAATGATATTTACATTGTACAGTATTTTACTTTTGCAAAACTCTTTCACAGGGAAGATATTTTGGATTTTAAGTGATTTATTAGTGGATATAATCACTGACTCTTTTTTCATCTCTTTATATTAATTTCTTATTCTATTTATTAGCAGATACATATATTCCTTTTTTGTTGTTTAGTGGTGAAGTCATATCCTACTCTTCTGCAATCCCATGACTGTAGCCCGCTCCTCTGTCCACGGGATTTCCCAGGCAAATATACTGGAGTGAGTTTCCATTTCCTTCTCCAGGTGATCTTCCTGACCCAGAGATCAAACCTGTGTCTCCTGCATTGGCAGGTGGATTCTTTAGCACTAAGACACCAGGGAAATCCATATATTTCTTTACTTCACTGATTAATTTTATTAATCTCCACATAATCATACATTTACTCACTCACTCACTAATCTCAGACACTGAGTATCCAGTACTATACCCAGAATTAATACATTAGGAGGGAGGGAGAGAAATATAAGTATCCATTGTTAGGGAGAAAATTAGTAGAACATAATATATGGTAGTAATTCATTAGCCATTTCTTTCCCTATTTCTGTCTCTTGTACCTTTTTGCTTTTCAGTAAAGAAGTTTCTGAAAGCATTGCTGATACTTCTGTAATTTCTGTATTATAGTATCTTTCAGATATTTCATCCTTTCACTAAGTTAACAGACATGGTGAGTTATGGCTAGAACTAAGTAACCTCATAAAGATACAATTTAAATCCCATCAAGTCTTATCTAGGTATATGAATGAAATATGTTCCATTTACTGAACAGAGTTTGAATGGAAAATAGACACAGGACATTTTTGAGAATTTCATGAATACAGGAGAGGCATGGCAGTGATTCAACTAGGAATTACCTGGGTGGGGATCTGTGTAATCCACAGTATATCCTTCAAGCTGCATTAATTCTTGTGGCTCAGACTTTTTTTCTCTATAACTGCACATAGCAAAGGTGTATTGGCTAACCTGCATGAGAAAAAAGTTTACATGTTGGTTGCATTAAATTTATCTTTTAGTTTTTTCTTTATCAGAAGACTGTTTGCCCAAGTTTAAAACCATAACATATAATCTGCATATAAGTTATTAAATGTTAGCATTTTTTTTTAAACCTTGCTCAGAGATTAAAGCACTTTTTGTTTATCCATTTACAGTTAGGTCTTTTATGCCTATGATCCAGCATTTCCCAAATTGATGACATTCTGGCCAAAATTCTATGAACTATTAACAGAAGAGCCATTAAAAACTAGTCACATTAAATATAAATTTGGGACCATAAAACTTTTAGAGGAAAACACAGGCAGAATACCCTTTTATATAAACCATAGCAATATATTTTCCATATCTATCTCCTAAAGCAAAAGAAATGAAAGCCAAAATAAGCAAATCGGACCTAATTAAACTTACAAGGTTTTGCACGGCAAAGGAAACTATCTATCAATATGAAATGAAGACAACCTACTGAATAGAAGAAGATATTTGCAAATGACCAATAAGTGATTTATATTCAACATATATAAATAGCTCATACAACTGAATATTAAAAAACCAAGTCACCCTATTAAAAACACGGGCAGAAGACTTGAATAGACGTTTTTCCAGAGAAGACATACAGATGGCCAATCAGCACATGAAAATATGCTCAATATCTCTAGTTAATAGGGAACTGCAAATCAAAACCACAATGAGGTACCACTTCACACCTGTCAGAATGGCTAGTATCAAAAAGGTCACAAACAATAAATGTTAGAGAGGATGTGAAGAAGAGGAACTCTTCTACACTGTTGCTGGGAATGTAAACTGGTGTAGTCACCATGGAAAACAGCATGGAGGGTTCACAAAAAACTAAAGATAGAACTACCATATGACCTGAAATTCCACTCTTGGGTATATATCTGAAAAACAAAACAAAACAAAACCCACTAATTCAAAAGGATACATGCACCCTGATGTTAATAGCAGCACAATTATTTATTATTTCTAAGATGTATTACAACATAAAGAGAAAAGATTTAAGAAAAGGTAGAGTGCCCTTTTTTTGGTAAACACTATTCATATGAACAGAACAGTAGTTATTATAGCAGGGTACAATTATAGGTCATTTGAAGTTTGGTTGTCTTTTTTTTCCCCAGTGTTTGTAGTTTTTCTCAAAGAATATGAATTACTTTGTAAGGAGACTTTTTCTAATTTGGAAAAACACCCAAAGCTAGGTTTGGGAACAGTGAATCTAATAACTTGAGACACTTAGGGTTTTTGCTACTCTTAGCTTTTCTTTTTCTTTCCATATCTTATAGATCACTAAATTTACTTTCTCACCAAAAGGTCATCAAAATGCTAAGAAAATTCAGGAAAAATAAAATGAAACAACAAAAAATAATTTGGGAAACTATTTAGGGAGTGATTATTCACATTTTAAAAGAAATTCTTAACCTTCTCAAAAACATCTGGTTCGTATAAGTAATGGTATTTTTCTATATTTCATGCATTTCTACTTAGAGAAAAGAGACCAATATAATAACATGTACTGCAAACTGAAAGCTGATTGGAAAAAAAAATAGTAAGCAGCTTCAAAACTGTAATGAAACATAATAAAATGTATAATTTCATTCCAAATTCCAAATATTATTTACATGTATATCAGATACATATTATGTAATAACACATAAGGATTATTGTGTTTTTCAACATCACAGATTTACTTTTTGAGTGTACTGTCATAATATTCTATAAGGTATTTATTTAACCAGTAAAAATTGACCAAGGGAACAAAATATTGTTACATTTGCTAGAATTACAGGTTTCAATTATGTGGTGAGGATTTTAAAATAATACATTGGAAACTAGAGACTATGATTTCGCACTAAATCAAGTAGCTACTCCCAGAGCTAAGCTTCACTAAAAAGGAAACATAAGACTATTCTTTGAAACATACTATTGAGAGATGAGGGTTATGCATGGGCCCTTGAGATTGCAATTTTAACTACAAAGTCCACAGATGTGGAAACCGATTTTCCTAAGGTCACCCAGAAAGAGAACGCGATCTGGAGTGGAGAACACAAGTCTCTACAATCTAGTAGGTAGTCCTTCCAATATATCGCATTAAAATTCACATTCTGGAACTTAAAAAACAACTGTATTCCCAAGTAACAAGCTGTGCTGTGTGCGCTTAGCTGCTCAGTCGTGTCTGACTCTTTGTGACCCCGTGGACAGTAGCCCACCAGGCTCCTCTGTCCACGGGATTCTCCAGGCAAGGATACTGGAGCAGGCTGCCATGTCCTCCTCCAGGGCATCTTCCCAACCCAGGGACTGAACCCAGGTCTCCCGCACTGCAGGCGGATTCTCTACCATGGGAGCCACCAGGGAAGCCCAAATAACAAGCTAATTGCCTCAAATTCTGGCAAAGCTACTATTTAAGATAGGTGTAAGACATTTACTTAGATATCTCTAAGAATCTGCAACCAAAGACTACTAATCGTATGGGGGAGAGAGGAAAGCGAGTTGAGCAGCAGACAAGTTGAGGCATTACCTGTTTATTATTTATCTTCTCTCAGGTACATATTTGATAAATCACCCTCATTTGTTTTATAGTAATGCTTATATCTGTAATTGATATAAATGTATAATCCTTTCATATATTTAATCCTCCTCTTGAATTTAACTTTGTCTGAATTTAACACTGTCATCCTACTTTCTGTGTTTTAGCCTTTTGTCTGTGGTATGTCTCACGTGTGGATTTTGGTTTTTATTCCATTCCAAGAATCTGTCACTAGGTCCATTTAACTCAAACTAAAAATTCATATATGTATATGAATTTTACATACATATTTCTGTCTTCTGCTATATGATTACTAAAAATTCCTTGGCATCCTATTTTTAATCTATACTAGTTACTTCACAAGTTTTCAAAGACATCACTGACCCCATATTTTCTTTACCTACTGTAAGACAAATCATTTTTTTTTTACTGTATATAACTTACATACAGTATATAACTTCCTTATATAACTTTCACAAAATCAGAAGTTTAGGTTTTACATGTTATTATAATTACTTAATTATTTCATAAGCCTATAACCTATTATAGGAATCATTTTTCAAGTTTTTCTTTGAGTCAAAATATTTTGTAACAGTAATTTAGATGTAGCTACCTTTGTTTCTTAACATTATAGTCTTTAATTCGTCTATATTTTAAGTTTGATATTTCTGAGATCTTACACTCATTTACTCGCTTCCTGGTCAGGAAGATTCCCTAGAAAAGGGATTGGCTACCCACTCCAGTATTCTTGGGCTTCCCTGGTAGCTTAGACAGTAAAGTATGTGGGAGACCTGGGTTCGATCCCTGGGTTGGGAAGACGCCCTGGAGGAGGGCATGGCAACCCACTCCAGTATTTTTGCCTGCAGAAGCCCACGGACAGAGGAGCCTGGATGGGCTACAGTCCACGGGGTCGCAAAGAGTCGGACACGACTGAGCGACTAAGCACACAGCACTGCACACTCAGTCACATTTCAAATATCAGAAATTCCCTTTAGATATTTTTAGGAAAGTGAATTGTGTATTTTCTGAATCTTCACCCATATTATAATACTGGGTTTGCCAATACTGGGTTTGGCCAAAAGGTTGGTTTAGCTTTTTCTGGTAAGATGTTGTTACAGAAAAACCTGAACGGTTTGGAAAACCCGATATTTTTTTTCAGTGCTTGTATTCATTAACAACTTCTTGGAGGTATACTGAATTCTCAAGTCGTACAATTTCCCATCAATTCTCTGTAGCTGTAACTCTACTGACTTCTACACTTCAGTGTTACGGAGATATCTGAAGCAACATACACAACCTGAATTGAAAAAATATTTTGAAAGAAATGTTTAGATGAAAATCTGTTTTCACTAAACTTCCTGAAATGTGGGAAGTCTGTGTATCTGCAGACTAATATCTTTCAAATTTCACAAAATGTTTCTTTTGTTGTATTTTTTACTTTTATTCTTATTTCTGCTCTGTTCATCTGTTTTGTCCTCTTCTCTTCACACTTAGAAAAGCAGATTTTTGTTGGATACTTGCTTGCTTCCCTTAGTATCTGCCATTGTGAGCTGCTTTCAATTCACACTTGACTCAAAGAAAAACATGAAAAATGACTCCTAAAATGTTACAGGTGTATGAAATAATTAAGTAATTATAACAACATGTAAAACCTAAACTTCTGATTTTGTGAAAATTATATATGGAAGTTATATACTGTATGCAAGCTATATTCAGTAAAAAAAAAAAAAAATGTGTTTCAGTAACTTTTCTTCTTCTATAGAACTGACTGAAGCAGTGGTCATTCTGGATGTGTGTGCACGCTCAGTTGCTCAGCTATATCTGACTCATGCCAGGCTTCTCTGTCCATGGGATTTTCTAGGCCAGAATACTAGAGTAGGTTGCCATTTCCTTCTGCAGGGCATCTTCCTGACCCAGGGATCAAACCCGAGTCTCTTATGTCTCCTGCATTGGAAGGCGGGTTCTTTATCACTGAGACACCTGGGAAGCTCCTCATTCTGTACATCACCACCTAAAATGTGGGCATCGATTAGCTGCTGTTTTTTAGTTTTAATCCTTCTGATTTTCCCCAGAACTCTTTCATTAATCTCAGACAACAACTCATTTTTTACAAACTTTTCAATAGAGACCGTGTTTATCATAAATTTAAAAACTAAAATCAATATATTTGATTTCAATATCATAGAATCTCTTCAGAGGTCTCCCTTAGTCCCTCCTCCACCACTTTTTAAATCTATCCTCGAACAAACAGATTTTCAAAGTCTGCTATTTGCCAAATGATAGCAGAGCCTCATTGATTCCTCGTAGTTTCCCACTGAAGTAGTGACAAAATTCACCTCTTCAGCCTCAAGCTTGAAAGCAAGTAGACATTAACAGCTCTCTCTAACCCGATTTTCATTCTTTAGCAGGCATTTATGTAGCGATTTTTTTATTG